AAAAAAAAAAAACCGATTCACTACTTAACTTCACATTTGAAATGGTGAACAAGTACGAAAGCTCAGATAATTTACAGGAGTACTAGAAGTGCGCTAGAGCTTTAGGATAAATCAGAAACACTGTGATGGGAGGGAACAAGACGAACCCGCTCGAACGCAATCAACTGCTTCCAAAACCCTTCATTAATTTTCACCATTGCTCTCTTTGGTTTCAATAACTCATAGGCATCTTTAAGCGACTTGGAATGAGCTTTCATTATGTATGCCAAACAAAATGTTGCACAACGTGAAACACCTTGCACGGAATGTATGAGCACATTTTTACCAGCACTGATCCCTGTTTCGACCTGAAAGCCAATAAATAGTTTGGAAAAATAAACGATAATTTTGACTGAGCTAAGTTCATGAGAACAAAGTCCAGTCATATTTAATAAATTGAACTTACCCTATCACAGACTTCATTAAAATGCGAATAGGCATTGGCATCAGGGGCGTCCTTTAGCGAAAGTTTCAAGTAATCAACTTTCCCCAACGACTTCACATTTGGTACCTGTAAAAACAAAAGTGATAATTAATGTGCCTATATTTTGATTACGTCAGCGACAAAGGCTGTCTAGAAGACAGAAGACATAACAAGAGGAAAAAAAATGAAAAGACAAGGAAAAGTCAATACTGCAGACGCTAGAAACATTAGATTCAAGTAATAAGAAAATATTAATTCAAATTTTCTTTGCTTCCTTTTCTGTTTCAACAACTATATACCAATGAGTGAAAAACAATAACGAAAGAGAAAATGTAAAATTTGTTTGCCGCCTACCTCTTCGGTGGTATTAATAATCATTTCGATGTTATTGGTAGCAATAATTGTTGGTGTTAGTGCACAAACACCGCTAACAAATAAGCCCGGAATTACTTCACTAATTTTCGCATGTTGCGAATTGATATTGAATACCATTTGACGCATTTTTCTTCCTGTTATTTCTTTTCCTCCCCACAAAACACTTTCTACCGCTACAAAACCACAATCTTGAGTTCTGAAATGAAAAAGTTTCAACCAAAAATACTGAAACAAAATTCTTAACGCGACATCGATCAACAGCGAAAAACAACGACTGAGCAACATCAAACAATCATATAGATCAAGAAAAGCTCTTCAATCAGAATTTGAACAGTTTGAACCAGAGGAATAGGAGGGAAGAAAAAAGAATAGACAAATGAAATTAACACTTAGTTTAAATTATCAAACAACAGTTTTTCTTCTCTCAAACACCAAATCAAACGATCAATTTCATCCCGCAATCAGCGGTCTCATACATCATCGTGTCAAATGCAAAAGTAAACTATCTGTTACAGTTTGTATCAATGGTCAATATATTTTGCAAAATTAAACATATATACAAAAACACAAAAAATAAAAACTGGAAGCAACTCAAACACACCCGACAGCCCAAATACCATCAACTTTTTTCTTTCATCTTCCAAAACTTTCATCTCTTCTTCACAACACCCTCTAGTGCCTAGCTATAGCCACTTTAAAACTGCCTAAATGTGAAACCAAAAAATTTCTTACTTTCCTGAGTACCACTTATTGTTGATAGCATACAGTAAGACTGCAGAATTACAGCAAACACCGAAAAAACAAAGAAATATAATTATTATAATACTTCTAAACACTGACATTTTACGATAGCCTGTCCAGATAATCGTGAAACATTTCTGACAGTAAATCAGAAAGAAAAACCAACTTCATTTTTTTTTCATTTTCTTAAATTTCTAGCAAAAATCCATAAAGCCGAAAATTAATATAAACTAAATCACCACATTTCCTTTCCCCCTCCCCCTTCAACCTAATCCAGCGTTGAAACCCGCCAGTGAACAAGAAAAGAACAAAGCTTATCAGTAAATAACACCCACCTACCCGGTTCTTGTTCTCCTCTTCTACTTTGAAATATTTAAAAATTATATAACTAGAAATACTGAAATGACAAAACAACAGGTAGAGAAGAAAATTGTGAAAGATAAAGATGGTAAAAAAAAGGAGAAAAAAGAGCCAAAGTAAACAAACAAATAAATAGGAAAAATTTTACCAGGAAAAAAGAATTAAGTGCAGAAAAGAAAGGAAAAAAAACAAGCAGCAACGAAAATGAGGTAAGAAAACACAAAAAAACCAACTCCTAAGAAGCTAACTCTCTTCATATTCAAGATACTTTTAAAGCATTAGATTCCTGTTAGAACAATATAATTTTAATTTATAATGATTTTTCTCCTCTCTTCCTTAAAAATTCAAGGACAGAATGACCTAAATTTGAAGTTATATTTGGGAAACTGTTAAAACTGTCAAGGCCTCAAAAACATGACCGATAGCAGTCGGTGGAATAGCCACAAAAATACTTATTTCAAAAAAATATTCTTCCCATCATTAGCAGCAGTGTCAGCAGTAGTTTTCTTGTTTTACTTTTATAATAGAAAACTGAAGTGCAAAAATTCTACTTTTCATCAAAATCGATACAGCATAGACGAGAGCCGAAAAAAAAAGAAGGAGAGCTGCTTTGGTGCCAAGCAAATTTATCTCCAGTTTTCTCTTTTTTTTTCCTCTCTTACTTCTTGGTTAATAAATATACCTAAAAAAAAATGATAATAAAGTACTCGGGTGACATTAGCAACCACTAGAATAGACAACAAAAAAAATTCCTTCTGGAGTAAAAAACATCTAGTCCAGGGACGACGTCCAAACTATCCAACGTGTCGTGTTGTCGGCCAATGCAAAGATTACAAGAAAAAGCACTGCTGAAGACGATGAAACAACACTGTGAAGCTGTATAACCAAAGCAACCAATATATATACACAACTATTTTGGTCTTCCATGTGTGAAAGTTGGAATTGCCAAACATATGTAGATTAAAAATACCAAAAATATACCCGTACCTAAACAAGAGTTCACAGATTTTTGGTCCATGAAAGATTGTAGAGAGGAAGAAATATAACCCGACCAAAATCTGCGAAGACTAACAGACCTCTAAATGAGCGGGTCTGTCTGTCGTTGTTCCTCTATAGGTTAATTATTTGTTTACTGTTCGGTATATCAAAATGCCGTTAACACTACAAACAGTTTAACACA